TTTTATAGTATTTTAAAAGAAGTTAACAGAATTTCACTTTTATTATTTTGGGCAGATTTATGGCTTATATTATTGAGTATTTACACTATCATTGTAATTAAAAGTGATCTTGTGATTCCTAGTCCCTTTGAGATTAAAAGGCATATTGAGATTCCTAGGCCTTTTGTGGCTTGTACGTGTGGTGGGAGGAATGAAAATATTTGCACTTAGATCAATATCTCAATCATTTTGAAAGATATTATTTTAAATATAAATTAGTTTTATAAAAAATTTTTTAGCTATTTTTATCACAGTATTTAAAATATTGAAATTTTAATTATGTATATAAAAATATTATAAATTTTTTATATGTAAAAATTATCAAAAAAATAAAAATTTTAACCAATTTCTTTGATAGTGTTTTTAGATTGATATTTAAAAATGATACATTGCTAAGTAACTCAAGTGCTTTAATTAATACATCTTCTGGTAACTCTATTTCAAATTCTTCAACTAAATTAGCCAATTTGCAGAAATCTTTCATGAACTCTTCAGCCTGATTAATAGGAGCAAGCTCTAAATCTTCTAAGTATGAACTTGAACATTTATATATTCCTTCCATTCCAATTAATCTATTAATAAACCCGTTTTTAAATAGATAAACTTATACAGTCAAACCTCTATATATGCATGCTCTATAAATGCACACCCTCTATAATTGCACCCTATGTCTCAGTCCCAACTAATAATGACACTTATAAAATTACTCTTTATAAATGCACACCCTCTACAAATGCACACTTATGGTCGGTCCCAAAGGGTGCATATATGGAGGTTTGACTGTAATAATGACACTTATAAAATTACTCTCTATAAATGCACACCCTCTACAAATGCACACTTATGGTCGGTCCCAAAGGGTGCATATATGGAGGTTTGACTGTATTCAATTTTGAAATATAAGAGTGCTCTTTACATTGTAGTTACTATAATTCTTTTAATTTTTATAATTCTAACACATGAATATAACACATAATGGTTAAATATAGTAATCCTCTGTATTTCTTATGTTTAATTTTCCACTCATGTTTTTTATACAATGTAAGGTTTCAGTAGTGTTCTGAAATTGGTTCGGGTTCAGTTCGGGTTCGGTTGAATCTGAACTCGAACTTTAAATTTTGTAGATCTTTGAACTCAAACCCGAAACCGAACTTAAAATTTATGAACTCGAACTAAACTCGAACTTGAAATATTTGTTCAGTCTGAGTTCTGTTCGAAGTTCATGAACATGTTCGGGTTCAGGTAATAATTAAACCTAAAAAAACTACGCGAGTTACTGTAAAAAACTTGGTAACAAACCTTACTATTTTGGTGATACGCATTTTGTGACTCACTAATGCATGTTAACAACGTTGCCCATTACCAAGCACATTTATTCCGATACAAACCAACTTAACAACCTTAATTACATACTTTATATCACTAGAATAGAGTGAATTTCGTAACAGACTTTCTTATGATAATTTGATAGTTGTAACGCAAACTAACTCAAAATAAATTACCTGATGTGATTGCTAAAATAGCGAGTAAGTTCTTTTAACAATTTTTTACAGTAATTCATGAAAAAAAATTACAATAATGTAAATACAGACTAACTCAATTTTAATCATATCAGTGTTTCGAGCAAAACTCAAATTTGCAGATCAAATTGGGCGAAACTAAAATTCCTCTGGGTGAAAATGTTCTGCATTTGAAAATTAGTTTCACCCGAAACACTAAATCATATAAAAATCACGATAATTCAATGCAAACTAACACATCCACATTATAGATATAACCAGCTTGTTCGGCTCTATTTGTTAATAGCTAAATATACAAGCCGGATCAAGCCAATAACATCTCTAATCCACATACTGTATTCTCATAATCATCCATATGATTATCAAATTTTAATTGTTGCGGCATTTTTGAAATTAATTTCATCATATAATTTGTAATCGATCTATACATTAATGCAACTAACTCAACCTTAATCACATCAAAATTATAATTTCTGATGCAAACTAACTCAATTTTAACAAACTATGGTTATCAGTAGGGTTCCGCATGGGATGGACTATCTATAGATTGTTCACGGATCAGCCTAGCATTGGATATTAATATAGATTTTTTGTTGGATCTGGTTTTAAAGATCCAGATCCATATAAAATTGGAAATATCTGAATCCATATCCAAAAAACCTATGGACAATTATACATGGGTGTCTAAATTATTTTTTTAAAAAAGCAATTTCGACAAACATTTTGACATTGCTAGTTTTTTTACATGAATTCCACAAAGTAACTATACTACCTAACATATTTTGACAAAAAGAATTCAAATAATTTCACTAAAAATTCTGACAACTATAAAATTTAATTTCACTATTAAGAAAAATTAATTTCAACAGACTAAATGTCGAAGTAATTTTTTATTAAGAGGAGTAATTTAGACACCCATGTATATAGACAACCCATATGCACCATATCTAACTATGTCAAAATTGTGAACAAAAAACCTATTTTCGAATTTTCTTTTTAAATTTTTGATAATCTCGCATCATTAATTATGCTTGAAAATGTTAAGCTCTTGTTAATAAAGATATAAATAATATTATTGCTTTTAAGTTTTTTTTTAAACAACTTTTTTATATTGTAAATTCCATATCTTTTTATTATGATAACTACAACTCTCAAATAGCAATATGGACATTAATAATTAAAAAATTTTACTTGAAGTAGCGAAATATAAAAATGTATTCAAATAGATCTGTTAATATTAATAAGTTTAGTTTATTATTTAAATTTTCTCTATTTAAAAAATTTAAAATATATTATTTTACAAATTATTCTATAACTATACATATTAGTCATATAGAATTAATTCTAGATATATAAGAGGTGTGGCAACTTAGTGTAGTGGTCTAGTCGTCACCCTCTCCAAGTGGCAGGTCTAGAGTTCAAATCTCACGGACGACGAATTTTGAAAAATAGCCTGTGTTACGGTTTACGGTTGTCGATTATCGGTTGGATCTAGAAATCTGT